AACTAAAATCTAAATATATACATTATATTGTATACAATATTACATATTTATAGACATTTTAAGTTCAAATTTGCGATATTAGAAATTTAAACAAAGAATAATAATTTTAGTTATTTTGTTGTTTATGAAGCATCAGGAAGCAGGCTTCTTCACATTTATATCTATGTCATTATTTTGTTATACTTATTACTTAAACTTGTTCAAACTTGTAACAGATGACCTAACAAAAAATTTTGAAAAGAATAAAGTTATTTTATCGTAATTTGAAACTTTTATCGTATATTATTATTAATATTAAATTTTATAAACAAATTAATGTAGAAATATWAGACATATAAGACATATTTCATGAAAAAAACCACAACAGTTATGCACATATACACTATATAATATAAATTGTACTTAAAAGTTACAATATACCTATTTTTGTATAAATCAGAGCTCTTAAATGTTCACTATAACGCTCAAAATATGTATAACCCTTAAGCGTGTCTATATCATTCAAAATTGAATTCATATTAGAATTGTATTATCAATCAGATAGTTGGTAGTACAAATGTATAATATAATATTACCAACAAATATCTTGAGTATTTTATTAAAACATTTATTATTTATAAATTAAATAGTGTGACTTATGACACGTCTGCACTTTAGTCTTAAGTTTCTATCTTTCATATTCCTAGTGAGTTGATCCTTCACGGGAGCGCCAATTTCTTTTTACAATTGAGCGCAAAATGTCAAACACTAATGTACAACAGCAAGGGCGTATTTAGATTTTTATTTTTATTTTTTTTTTTGGTGGGGAGGGGGGCTGTGGTATTTTCTCCAACTGAAATTCCCAATTCAGCCTATATGAGTTAGAAAATTTATATCTAATAAGACATAATAAGCAAACTTCATAAACAATTCCTGGATTTCGGGAGGGGGGGCTGAAGCCCCCTCAGACACCCCCATAAATACGCCCCTGTACAACAGACTATAGTATCTATACATTTCCCTTTTTTAGATATTATGATCAAGTTTTCAAGAGCCTAAAACAAATCAATTGTATTATATTTACACAATTAAGGAATTGCAACATAATTTTATTTATTATTGATTTACTTTTTAAGTAATTTTCTTCTATACTAAAAAACGAATCTATATTGAAGACATCCAAATTTGATAAGCTGCTCGACGATAGTTTCAATATTAATGAGATAACTTAAGTAAATATATCGTTGATGGGTATCTACGGTGAGTGATGACTTTCATTTTAATTTGTATTTTCATCGATTGTCATACTATAAAATAAAATTGATTACCTGAGACTTTTGAAAATTGACATCACAAGTTGAATGTGCATGACTCCCCTTTCCAGGTTCGTTTCGCATGGCACTTATAGAACATGTTTGCTTATTTTTCCCGTGTGTTTTTCTGTTTTATTTTACATATAACAGCAGAGCAGTTGCTGCATCTTGGACAATTGTTTCAAATATTCACCTTCGTCRCCGGACGTACATCCCAGAGACTGCACGTGTCGGTTCGCTTTGCTGCATAGAGCGGCGTCGTCCGAATAACCGTTAAGTATACATATGGTAAATGCGAAGACAACAAATAATAATTACGACACGTTATCAGAAACTGCAGTCATTTTCACGCGATCGTTATTATTTATATTTGATCGATTATTGGTTTTATTTGTATATACAAGCACACACACGCATATAATACAGTGAAACCTGACTTAACGGATACCTGTATAATGTAGTATACAGCGGACATCTCTCTTGAACGGACAATATGATAATGCCCTTGCAAAAAGATAAATTATAGTCCATTGTAATAAGTAGAAGTCTATCTTATAATGGATATACCTATCTATAACGGACACTTTTGATGATCACGTGACTGTTCGTTATAAAAATAGGTTTCACTGTATTTATATTTTRTATTCATAAATATTATACATGTATATTGTATATTAATTATGTATCTATCGTGTACTGTAAAATCTGCCAAGAATGATATATAGTATGGTTTTATTTGAACGGAGATCAGTTTAATCCGACAACTTTATGCCATGATTATTAAATGTAATTGACAGATYTTACGGTTCATAGAATTATTATATTACGATAATAGCACGGTGTTCCTTTTTCTTTTTACTTATAGGTATGTTTTTATTATTCTCTTTATTTAGTTTGTTGAAAATAATGTATTTAGTGTTGATTGCTAATTATGGTAATTAATTGCCTATACCATACAACTTTTATAGGTATTAATAATAATTATACACATTACCTAGTACACATCACATATTATAAACATATTATAACACCGTGTTTCACATTTAAGTAACATTTTGTGGTGAAATAATATTTTCAACTAGGTAGATATCTACATATATATGTATATATATATATATATGTCAAGAAACCGTTCATTGAAGCTTAAGAGGGTGTTTTAATTGCGCTACCAAAACTTTAGCAGACTAAAGCTGTTCTGTGGTGTATTGAAATAGTGTGTGGTAATAGTGTAATACAGTATAAAACAAACTTTTGTTGTTAAGTTTTCCATTGAGTTGGAAATTCCTTGATTGTGATAGGCAATAACTGAGATGGCTTTAAATATATTGAAAATAATCTGATCCAAATGTATACTTTTGTATTACATACTTATATCAAACACAATATTATTTTAGGTGTATTATACGTACCAAATATATAAGTCAAAAAATTTAATATTAATTAATGATTTAAAAKCACCAAGTTATCATTCTTTATCGTAATAAATTTTACCGATACATTTTTACACAAATTATTTATATATTTAAATAAGAAGACTAGGTAATTTATAAGAATAAAMAAACTGCCTTATCCCCTATATTAGTGTTTAAATTTACCAAAAATCTAATGTGTAGTAGATATATTATACTGTTAATGTATAGCGTCTATAACCATTTTTATTTATATATTTTATCTACAATGTTCAAAATATTAAAATGTGCAACCTTTTTTTGTAGTAAACAAATTATGATTTTTAAATTTAAATTGAACTGAATTACTTAGTGAGTAATTAGGATATACGTGCGTATAACATAGCTCTCYTATTAATCAATTCTCAAATTGTGAAAATGGATGTTTATGTCTTCTATACACTTGGTTTTAATATCCTATATATATTAAAACTTTATAGACTCCCRAGGTCATTATACTATTACCCAATAGTTATTTAATTTACTTAATTAAATCCACCTCTATGCTTCTATACTATAAAATAAAGCCATAAGTGCTCTTACATACGTATATGTGCAATAAATTCCTTATGATTAATAATCAAAGAAAAATTACCCCAAAATATCTATTAATATTATTTCTTTAAATTATTTTGTTATTATTTGATTGTTAAGCCATACAAATTAATAAAAATCAAATAAATAATACACATACTAATTATGCAATTCACTGTACCTACATAAATAGAACAGTTTCATTACAATATATACATAGGTATCATATTTAATTAACTTCTAAATTGTATGTACTATATTATAAGACTTCCCAATATTGGTTGAA